CCCCAAAACCCCAAAACCCCAAAACCCCTTGAAGTAGATTTGTTGTAAATCTCATAAATCATATTAAATAATATTTCGCATAATATTTTCAAGGTGATTTCATCAGTGATTAATTAAGATCCAACTGCCTAAGAAATAATCTCTCATCATCAGCGCTAAGCTATTCAATCTTAAGCTTTCTTTTCTCTCTCTAAGTCTTACCAGGATTAAAGTGAGACGCTTGATTCATATCGCTATTCTTGCTATCTCTGGCATTTCTTAGAGCCTTTTTCACATTTCTGTTGGTTTTCCATTGAACCAACTCCTTTTGGACATCTCTCAGGAGTATTTAAGCATCTAAGAGAGTTTTATATCTCGGCACTTGGAAGAAGTAGTTAAACTAGACATGCCTTTAATACTTCTCATCGAAATCCTCATTCCTCATCACCTAATACTAATCCTAAATAATTTGGTCTTCAGTCTTGTAATGTTCCTCAGCTATGAGTCCACCCAGGCCTCCTGCTGCACCTGAGTTACTGTTCCCACCTGAACTGCTCTACTTCTTGAGATTTAATTGCAAAAGCTACGGACTAAGCATGTGAATTTATAGATGCTTTGTACTTTATCTACTCCTTGGTGATCCTCCTGCACTTACTTGCTTTGATTAGCTAAATCTGGGACTTGATATCGAGCTTTCTCTGTATTTTTCTAGTCTTGGCGATTGCAAGGTCTCCAAATTCAGCATTTTATCGCTGATATGTGCCCTATTCATTTGAATTTCTGCCTTCTCATCAATGCTTAGATGCTGGGCCTCTGATTCTTTATTTGATAGTTTTTACTTCTAGCCATTTTTACCACTTTACTCTAACATAAATGTCAGCTTCTCCTTGAGCCTATTCATTCTTTTAAAGATCTTTAGACAATCAAGAGTGTTTATATGATGATATCTGTGATTATATTGAATGAAACCTTTAGCTTACTTGTTGATGTTGGCACCAACATACTTCACTATTATGCGGCGCATCCTATCTCTTTTGAGGTTAAAAAAATTAGGATCAACTTTGTCCTTTTACTCCTGAAGATCATCCATTAAATGAATGTCAAGCCTTAGTGAGATTTTATTCTGCTAGCTCTAATTTGATTGGAAATTCATAGTTGATCTATTTTAAAACGTTAGTGTGTTGTTCATTGATTAACTCATACTCATATTCTGGTTAATCATTATATTCTTTGGAGTACTATTCTAGGAAGTAATCTATTGAATAGCTTTGAGGTATTACTGATTTGATCTTCTGGCTATATTATCCACCAAACTCAAAAACCCCTATGATTTCACCTTATTTAAATCCTAATATTGTTGTTAGATCTGCAGCTAGGATTGCTCCTTTAACTTAGATTGCTTATCATCAATTTTCAGCTCACCCTCATCCTCAACTTGTATGGTATTCCCTTCTCGGTATAATCTTTATGGGTTAAATTACATGCCACCTCGGCCAGTCATTGAGTTTATAGAATCTTCCTTAGTCGATCTCCCTTGATTTGAGGATACACCAAGTGCTTTTTCATGCTATGATGATTGTTCTTTTCTCATGTTATTGAAAGTCTCATACTTCTGTTTATTTCTCTATGTATTTAGCTCAATATACTCATTTGTTAAGTTTACAGTCTTTGGTTGTTGAATAATTCTTTTCCTACTCATCTAGAAGTGATAATCAGGTTTTTATCATTCTAGCAGGAGATTCTAGTATCTGTTCAGTTAAGTCTACTTAAATTATACATTGCCGTTCCAATCCAGAAATTGAGCCTGGATTTCGATGGAGAAATCTATGATGATCTACTGAGCTTGCTCAACTATCTTGTATTGTCTCAAATGATTTACAGTAAGCGACTTGGTATTCTCCATTATTTATACATAGTTCTCATCAACCAAAGTAAAGCTTAAATTAATGGGTACTCGCATCAGTTTGTATTGCTAGCTCAGCTGATCATTGCTATTGAAGTCAACTAGAATGATATTGAAAGAAGGTTTCTAGAGTAATCTGTCTAATTTACTACCACAATCAGTATTTTTAACTTCTCTTAGGAAGTCAACGATTTGCTGTCCATGATTTTCATTGATTTAGACCTACTTTCGTGAAGGTGTGCTACTTTTGTTGTTGCTAGAGTCTCTTGTATTACTCCTTGGACTGTTAGAGTAAACTCTATGACTGATATCTCGAGTTAGAGTGACCACTTTCTCTGAAATAAGTCTTTAGCTCTCTTGTTCTTAAATCATAATTTACAGTGTTAAAACACTCAGATTCAAGTATGAGGGTATAATTACTTTCAAAGTTGGGAATATCACCTTTACTCCTTAATCTTTAGATAGATATGAAGAGTCACAAATCCTATCGACATTTTAGTTGCTTTTGTTGCTGTTTAATTAATGCAATATTTTCATTTATTTACTAATAGAGGTAACTGATTATAATCTTTTCAATTTATTCTTGTATTCATTTAATTCCAACTTATTATGCTTCTAGGGGTTTTGGGGTTTTGGGGTTTTGGGG